AGAGAGAGAGAGAGAGAGAGAGAGAGAGAGAGAGAGAGAGAGAGAGAGAGAGAGAGAGAGAGAGAGAGAGAGAGAGAGAGAGAGAGAGAGAGAGAGAGAGACTTGTTCAGAGACACACGGAGAGAAAAATTTGAAACGGTCACTTGTTTCGTCAGCTGCGTGGCCGGTTGAAGCGGACGGACGGGCGGCGAGACGGCGGCGCGGCGGTGAGACGTTCAGAGGTCCAGGAGAGCCGAGTGAGAAGGAAACAAGACCCTGAATTGAACCAACAAGTGTGGAGAAGCCTGTCGATTGGACTTGGGTTGGTTCCAGGACACCGTGAAGCATGCTGCTGCATTTGCATCCGCTGCGGCGCTACTACTCAGCCTCGGCCTGCAGCCTGGCCGCGCTGGTGCAGCTGGTTTTGCTCGGGGCTGCCATTGTTCTTGCCTTTGTCATCCCTTATAAGTGTGGTGGTAAGCTTCTTGTACCTCAAGAGTTGGCGCTTCGACCTGCCACTTACCCTGCCAACCCGATCCCTCGCCGAGTACAGGCTTCTGGCTGCGTGAGGGCACCTACCGAGAGCAGGCGCATGTCACCTTGACGCATCGCTGCATCATCCATGCCAGCACTGCGAGTGGCGCGCTTCGCGTTTTCAGTACCTATCCCCAGTATAATACCCTCTTGAGTGACTCCGTGTTTTGGCCCATGACTCTCGAGGTACCCTCCTGCCTGCCCACCCCAAGCCTTCTCTTCGGTCACCAACATCTCCTAAGAGCTCATGAATGACTTTGTCTTGCCAACAGACGCGGACGATCGATCTTGACTATGATGGCCGGGCTGATCAGTTGTGGGGCTCTATCACAGTTCCCGCGGTCGAGAGCGATCCCATCACCCGGTTTGATGCTGCCATCGAGGTCGTCTACACCCTTGAGGTTTGTTTGCAGGGTGCAGCCGCTCGTTCTTTCCCCGCCGTGCTGTGCGTTGGATCCGCGACCCAAAGCTGACCGACGTGCGTCGAACTTGGCCTTGGGCCCTTGCCCTTTGCCAACCTTGTGCGCCAGCGTTATGCCACCATTGTACTGCGCGATATGTTCATGCTGCAGCAGCAGTAAGTCCTTTACCCCCACCACCTCCTGCTTGTCCATTTCAATGCCGACAGTCGCAATGCCAATTTGTCCCCTCACTCACGCCCATGGCCCTGTCATGAATCCAGCGCCACGCATACAGAGCAGGCCATGTATAGCACCGGCGTTCTCGCATTGCAACAGGATCGTCTTTTGCCGGCAGAAGGCACTGACATCCGCTACAACGTGCGTCATCTAATATTCAGCCCTGCTCCTCCCAGGGCAGCGTTTCAGTTTGCTTCGTGCCTCATCCCTGTTGGCTTCTTTCTTTTTCTGTGTCTTTTTCATTTTGGAGCAGGTTACGCTGATCAACGCCAGTGGGGGCACATTGGCCAACTTTGGGCTTCGTCAGCTGCTCGCCACCAAACAAGCACGTGAATGTGAGTTGCCTATCGACTTTAAGATGCTCCATGTGGCACTCTCGGCGTCGCATCGCAAATCATGGTCGATGTTTTAAATTGTCTTTGATGTCAACTTCTGACAAATACCCCTGATTATCCTCTCTCTCTCCCCATCCCCCCCCCCT